ACAGAAAAAATGTTTCCAGGTGGTGATTAATGCCTCCAAATGCCAGAGCACAGGAGATCACTTCTCCAAGTTTCCAAGCAGGGAGGGGACAGAAGTAGACCTTGAGTTTTTCTACTCACATGTATAGACAAGGATTAACAAAAATCACAAACGTTAGCATAAATATTTTATTTTATTTATTTAAGCATAAATATTTTAAATGTGGGTGAAGGCTAGAGAATAGAGATTTGCTGAAGCAGGGAGGTGGTGAGAGGTTGGAGCCAGAATTTGGAAGGCCTTCAATGTCAGACTATGGAACTAAAACGGGGTCTTCAGGCCATGGCGAGCCGTGGAAAGTTTTTAAGCAAGAGACTTCTACAGAATAGCGAAGTTGAAAAACAGTGACAGTGGGATTTCATTCTCCTATGTCTCTCTAATACAGAAGCCACAAACACACACATTCAACTCGAGTTCATGATTAACACCTCTCGGCCTAAATTTCTGCCTAGCAACAATTAGCTGGACAGTGAAGCACCCGTTCTAGATGGAGCATGGCCACCTGGTCTGGGTTCACCTTTTTGGAATAGCAGTCTTCAAATAGGACCCTAAGAAAATTCTGAAAACAGAATATATGCTGACACCTAAACTTCTTCATTGTAGGTTTAAATTGTTTTAAAGGATGAAATTTATGATATGGTGAAGTCTTGACATTTTATTTTATTTTATTTTTTAATTTGTTAAAATTTTATTTTATCCCTTCCCCAAAGCATTGACATTAAGACATTATTTTTTTTAAGTTTATCTATTTTTGAGAGAGAGAGAGCGCACGTGAGTGAGGGAGGCACGGAGAGAATCCCAAGCATGCTCCTTGCTGTCAGCATAGAGCCCCACGTGGAGCTTGAATTCATGAACCATGAGTCATGATCTGAGTCGAAATCAAGAGTTGGATGCTTAACCAACTGAGCCACAAGGCACCCCAAATATTGACATTTTAAAATGAAACTGTCACATCACTCTTTTAAATGTATCCCGGTGTAATTTAAATACCATAGCAGTTTGATACCCAGCATCTCCCTTTAAAAATACATGAATAGGAGGGGCTGGCTAAATTGGTAGAGCATTTAGACTCTTGACCTCGGGGTTGTTGGTTCAAGCCCCACGCTGAGTGTAGAGATTAAACATTTTTTAAATCTTAAAAAAAATAAAAATATATGACTAAGTTCTTAAGAGTTGGACATTTTATATGGTTTTCTTTCTTCTTTGAACTCTTATTTCCTTTCCAGAAGTCTATCCCATGTTTTTATATCCAATGCCTTATTCATCATTTAATTTTATTTCTCTGTCACCCAGAATTGTGGCACAAATATTAATTTTTTTTTCTCATTCCCTATGATTCTAAGGCTCTACATATTAAAATTTCTTCTGGATTAAGTTATCATTATAATTATTAGAACACAATTAAACAAAGCATCATAAATACATTAAACCTCTTAATAACTATTAAACATAGTACATTTTTTATTGGGAATGTATCTTTTTTTTTTTAACTTTTTAAAAAAGTTTACTTATTTATTTAAGTAATCTCTATACCCAACATGGGGCTTGAACTCACAACCCTGAGATCAAGAGTTGCATGCTCTTCCTACTGAGCCAGCCAAGTGTCCTGAGAATGTATCTTTTAAAAACAAGATGGAGGCAGATTAAGAAAAAAGATCCTGTATCCATGGAATAGTATTACTTTTGGCTTTTTTTATATTTTTTATAGCTGTAAGTGCTGAGATTCTTTGATCACATAATTTAGTAGGTGGGAATGGAAAGAATTTTGTTATAGTAATGTCACTCAGTTCTTTAATCTTTCAAGTTATATGCCAAAAATCTAGTAATCTATCTTAAATTATTTTTAACAATCTATTGGCTGAAAATTCTACGTGGTCCCCTTTCCATTTGTTGAAAGCAAAGAACTGGAATTCTCTTTGCAAAAGGATGTGTTAACAAGTCATTAGAATCATTTACTTTTCTCACTTCAATATCATCATTTTTTTTTTTTAATTTTTTTTTCAACGTTTATTTATTTTTGGGACAGAGAGAGACCGAGCATGAACGGGGGAGGGGCAGAGAGAGAGGGAGACACAGAATCGGAAACAGGCTCCAGGCTCTGAGCCATCAGCCCAGAGCCTGACGCAGGGCTCGAACTCACGGACCGCGAGATCGTGACCTGGCTGAAGTCGGACGCTCAACCGACTGCGCCACCCAGGCGCCCCAATCATCATTTCTAATTGTCCCTGTATTCAGCACCTCTGAGGTTTCACATGCATAGCAAAGTCCACAGTGAGATTAAAAAAATTTTTTTTAATGTTTATTTATTTTTAATCTTTATTTGAGAGAGAGAGAGAGAGACAGAGTGTGAGCAGGGAAGGAGCAGAGAGAGAGGGAGATACAGAATCCGAAACAGGCTCCAGGCCCTGAGCTATCAGCACAGAGCCCGACGT